AAACAAAAAGCAAAAAGCAAATTCAATGCAGCCATCGAACGGATACACACACACACACACCTATACCGACACCGAAAGATACATGCGAGTATCTCGAAGATACAATGAGACGCCGCTGCCTAATAACTGAGGTTTGTGCATGTGCAAAATAAAATCGAAACAAATCACAAAAAATCTCATAAATAATAGCCACAACAACAACAAAAAAACCACAAAAAATGAGGCTTGTTTCATAGTTGAAGCTTGTGATACTCTCACAGATGGGATGCTACGATAGTAGGCGTATGATATAGGGATTTCCAGCATACCAAATCATTCGTTTATAGAAAAGACCAAGGAAGAACCAAATGAAGAGATAGATAGTGAGAGAGAGAACTATGTAGATACTCGTATATAAGCAGAGAGACAGATGCAACGATTGAGTGTTAAAGATAGCGAATGAACGAGAAGGAGGGCCCCCTGCACACTCGCTTCACTCGTGCACCAACCCCTGGCTCACTCGCTTCGGTAGCTCGGTATGGGAAATATGTACATATGTCTGACGACGCCCCAAAACTTTTTTATATAACAAAGAGATATCGAAAGACAAGGCTGCTTATAAGATGTGCATAGAGGGGCGCCTGTCAAAATACATACGAGTAATAACAAATTACGACTACAAGTTTTTAAATCAGATGGAGACCGTTTAGACGAGGTTTAAAACTCTCCTCGAAACCGTAACAAACCGAGACGAAAAGAGAGTGAAAGAAGGACTTTGATTCCTAGTGCATGAACAACTTCTATGAATCGTAATACCCTCTACAAAAGTGTATCCACAACAACGAAAAACCACAAAAGTTTTCGATCGTTAGCGCAGCTCTCGTCGTCGTCTCGTCGCCATTTTGGCTTTTGGCTAAAATTAGCTAATAACAATAAAAAAAATAGAAAAAGCAACAAACAAAAACCAAAAAAAAAAGGTAAACAAGCGAACCAAAATAAACCCAGAAAAATAAAGTTACGAACATCCGAAGAAAACCAAAAGCGATATAAACAATCATATGGGCAGGGCGGACATTGACGGGTAGGCGTTTGCAAGTGGAAATCAGAGTCAAAAATGATAGGGTAATAACGATCATACATACACCGTATGTATGTACATATATTAATTAATTGAATTTTCAACGGTGCCAGAATGAATAAATATTCAGCTTTATCCTCTACCAATTGCATTGGTAATACTTTTAAGATTCTTCAATAAATTGAATGCAGTTTTCTAATATGATTCGACTATAAATTTATACTCAATTCAGTTGAGTTTTCACTTCATTAATTATAAATTTTTCCCTACTTCATTAGTGGGAATCCAACTTCCTATTCGCTCGGCAAGTACATACATACATAGTACATATATTTCAATCGCATTTGCTGGGAGTTTGGTCACGGGAGACTGAACGAAGCGGCGAGTAATTACAAATGAATTTTCAACTGTTCAAAGATTACTTCCACGGGGATTTTATTTGATTTTTGTTATACCCCGACGAGTACACGTAGCGTACAAAGGTACGTACGTACATATGTACAATACAAAGTACATTTTAAACATACATACATATACTCGTATGTTTGTATGTACAGGACCAGGCAGCAAGTAGATCTAGATCTTAGATCGTACATAGGAACAGGTATCCCTTAGTCGTATTATTATCCATCTGGTTTCTATATTATATTACCCTCTCTGTCTATCTTTTCACAGAGAAACTGCGTTCTAAGAATTCATCAGCTTTTGCTGGCTAACTTTTTGTGTGTCCGGCTATTGGAACGAACGTGCGACCGCCGATTAACACCTTAATGTTAGAAACCCCAACTGGAACCCTCCACCCCTCTCTCTCTCTCTCTTTGGGGCATCCTGGGGACTGAGCATTGAGCATGTGATGAAAGCATGCCCATAAAAATTAAGCCAATTTGGATAGGAACAAAAGAAGTTTTTGTCTGCCCAGCAGCCCGTAAATTGACGGGGAAGATCTTCAGATCATTCGTGTTTTTTTTTCGGTTTTGTTTGTTGTTTTTCTGTCTCTCTCTCCCTGTCTCTGTCTCTCTAAATATTGCCAATTAGCGACGCTTCTGTTTTGAACGATCTATCCATATCTGTGTGACGGTATGGATGTGCATATTAGTATGGGTATGCGCTTGAAATAGTTTTGGGTTCTGCTTATACCCTCACTCTGGTTGTATTTCTTTTGATTCCATCAGAGAATGTCCTCAAAAGATAGCAGATGCATCTACAGATGATGTAGGATATTTAATAACTATTTTCATAACTCAAATCTCAACCCATTTGGAATGCCTTGTTGTCTTATCTCTGTCCAGAGTATGTATACATTTGAGATTAATAATGTTCTCTAGAACCTTCAATAAACCCACCCTAGAGTATAGTTATTATCGGCTACCTTTCAGCACTCTCTCGGTCTCTGTATCTCCCCCGCCCTCTTTTGGTTTACATTGTGTATTCCATTGCAATTATCACATTTTTTTTTTTTCTTGAATGGCGGATTTGTTAGTTTTCTAGTTCAAGCTTGGATCGCAGCGAATGTCAATGACTCGTCGTCATTGCTTTGTGGTGGGGGCTTTTTGGATTGGAACCTGCGGCTGGCCGGCGAACAGCATTTACCACCTTGCCATCTAGCATCTACTGTGGCATTTACCATCCTACCATTTACCATTTACCATTTACCATTTACAATTTACCGCTCTCATTTGTCACAGCCACAAACAGAGTGCCGTGCCGCCGCCCTCAATGTCCATCGAGCGTTGCGCTTTTAACGCTTCTCGGGTATTAATTGCCTGCTCTATACGTACCACAGATCATGAAAATATATACTATGTACGTGTACCGGGTTTATAGGAAAATTAACTACATTTGTAGCCATACATATTTGGCTAAATGCGGCATTAAAAAAATGTTAATGGGCAAGAGAGTTACGTTGTTGTGGAGTAGAGGAAGTTGGGTACTGAATTAACACAGAATTTATTGATGATACCATTCCATTCCCCCAGAAGTCGTAAACGAGGGGAAAGAATCAATCATTTGTGGGATGGAAGTACTATTCCGAATGTTGAATGTTGAACCTATTGTTTCACCTTGGATTCATTGGTTTTCGTCTCAATTTCAGGACAAAGCAGTCCCTCAACAGACCGTCAAGGCTTTCACACCCAGGTGCCAAACTCAAGATGTCTCGTGGTCGCCAAAAATATAAAAAAAAACCAAAGTCAAAGCCCCCTCCCCGCCTGAAGACCAGATACAATGGGCGGTTGGTTCCGTACGCACAGCGGCCGGCAGTCAGGCAGTGAGGCGTTTGTTCGGGGACATCCCAGTTGATTTTTCGACATCTTCCCAAACAATGGTGGCAGTGTTTTTTATTGCACATCCACTTAGCGGGTGAAGATTTTCAAAATGCGATAACAAGTCGCATTTCGGGAGTAGAGTCGTCTTTTTTCTCTTGGGACTTGACTTGTGACAAAGCTGAGAAGAAGAAAACGAAAAATCATTTGGGGAGCAACAGATTACACCGATAATGAGGGAGACCAGAGCCAGAGCCACAGTGAGGAAGGTTATTGTGGGGCGCCGCGAATTAATTTGCACCTTTCGCCTCTGGTTGCCGCGCAGTCGCACCAGCAGCTGTCGTGTGGCAGCGGCAGCAGCAGCAACAGCAGCCGTCGGAGAAAGTTGCATGCAAATCCACAAAGAAAGAAAAGCTTTGCTGGGGATGGGGCAGGGGATAGGAGGCAGGGAGATAGACACATGACGTGACGGGGCGGACAAAAAGTGCAGCATCCAAGTCAATTCGAGGCGCTCTCTTCTTTTTTTTTGTGTGTGTTTTATTAGCCATAGGCAACCTTTTCGCCAGACACCCGCCCACCACCCCCCGCCCGGGCAGCTCAGCCTCTGGGCAATGTCATAATCTTTTGTGCGGTGGCTTTTCCACCGTTTCGCTTGAGTTACATATTTATGTGTGCTTTGGGTGCAGCAGGCCCAACGGTAATTGTAATTTGTAATTTGTCATTTATTTGCACTTCGCATTTGAGTGCGCCCGCTCGCTCGCCCAGCCGTCAGCAGGAAGCGGAAATAAGTGGAGTTTGCTTTTGCCCGACTGCATTTCGATGTTTGATTGCGTTTCACGCAGTTTATGTTTAGCGAAAACTCGTGATGCATGTAAAAGTCGTTGCTGAACAAACAATAGTTTGAAATTAATTCAAATTTGTAATGTAAATTGATTTGTGGATACACTGTGTGCTGTTAGGCGCAAATTCGCATTCACACAATTTATATTTGGCGCGCACCTTTCGTATCCAGTATCGAGAGCCGTTTCAGGGGATTTGGTGTTTTTTTTTGGTATTTTTTCTATTTTGTCCAATCACTAACCATACAGTATATACTGTATGGTTAGTGGTCCAATGCAGCAATGTAGAAACCGTGTAGAACTCGTGTAGAAATGCCATGTAAAGCAATGTCCCAGGCCACATCAAGTTCTAATTCGAGATTAGCATTGAATCCTTGAATTCTGCCATCAAAATCTAAAAAGGAAAAAAAGGCCAACAAATTTTGAATCGCATACATATCCCCTGTAGGTGTCGCTCTTGGTAATTACACACAAATGTGTAGCAAATGTGTAGTTATCGTGTGTTACCATGTAAAAAAATAAATTAAGTGGACCTTCCACGATTCCAATAAAGATGGTACTTAAAATGAGCCACTTTTATATAAAATTGATTAGATTATCGGGTAAAACTACGTGTTCATGGCGTAGAGTCCTTGATGGAGGAACGAGGAACATGATGGATCTTAATAACAAATAATTCGTCAGTATATTAACGGGTATATTTTGAAATTTGTGACGTTATTTTGGTATATTTTTAAGGGTCAGACCGTATATTTTATCAATAAATCCGCGGTCACACTGATTATATCAACATCGACCTGAGTTATTAAAAAATGAAGTAAAAAATGGCATAAACATATAGTTCCATACATGAACCGGAACCTGCGGCGGTGGTTGGAGAGCTGAAATTGATGACATCGGCCCGTAATCCGCAGCCGAATTGATTGTACCTTAACTATATCGGCTTTCACTGTCAACCAGTGACAGCAACGCGGCGCCGCCATTGAAAGAAAAAGCGTGTTCTAAACAAAAACGTTTCGAGGCCACCGACAAATTGATGCAAGTATGTCACTAACGACGGCAAATGCAGCAGCAGTACCAAGAGGCGACGCAGGAGCAGGAGGAGGAGGAGAATCACTTGGAGGACTTACCAGGGAGCTGCACCCCCCGCCGACACAGCAGCAGCATCATATAAGGGCAATCGATGAATTGCAAGATGGAGACACCAGCAGCCTGGAGCCGGGCGAGGTGGTAACCCCGCCCCACCTCATCCACGGAGGCGCTAGCAGTCCCGCACTGAAGAAAGTTCTGACCAAGGACGCGAAGAGCAAGACATTGCGCAAGCTGGCACAAATCGATACGGACGGCGGCAAGGTGGCTCTCCTCGAGCGGGACGGCATCAGGCGCAAGGAGGCCAAGGGCAACACGCCACGCGCTCAGGAGAATGGAATTTCTCGTCCGCCCTCAGAGGATCCCGATGACAGCGAAGGTCTGTATTCGGACACGGACTCCTCGGGCGAGGAGCAGAGGAACGTGGAGGATGTGCAGCAGGCCAGGAAGGAAAAGCAAGCCGAGGAAGCGGCTGCAGCCATGCCGCCGGCTGACCCGTCGGTCGGCCCTCCATTTCTCGGCCACAACCCGCTGCGGTTTCACATGCGCCCGCCGTTCTGCGAATATACTCGCATGGGGTTCATGCCGCGAATGCCGCGAGGCGGATTACGCATGCGCCCTCCCTTCTTCAACCGGCCCCCCAACCGAATGGGTGCGCCCAATATGGGTGGCGCCCCGCCCCCAGGATCCTATGGACCAGCACTGCCGCCTGCCCAAGGACCCCCTGTCAGCTCGGGGCTCGGCAAACGCTTGATGTCGGAATTACAGTATGTCTTTGAATTATTTGCGAAAGAAATCTTGTTTTAAGATCTGTTTGATTTGTCACAGGTGGACGACGACGCAGCCTCCCATACAGTACAACTTTAACGTGGTGTCCGACTGCTCCATTGCCAAGCACAAGGCCTGCCAGGAGAAGGCGGAGTCAAGTGGCAAGAAACCGCCACTCAAGGCCAAAGAACCTGCCAGCGATGGCCTGAGGGATCAATCGAAAGGCCGATCTGCGGATAAGCACAAGGAAAACGCAGCCAATGAGAAGGACGGGAAACGATCCAAGGAAAGGAACAGCGAAACTTCCAAGGAGAAGAGTGCCGAAGCCCCCAATGAGAAGAATAGGAAAAGTTCCAAGGAGAAGCATCGACGCAGAGATGTGTCCAAAGAAAAGCTTAGAGAAAGATCCAAGGAACATCCCAAAGATATGTATATGCCCAAGGAAAAGAACAGAGACAGATCCAAAGATAGGCACAGAGAGAGATCCAAGGACAGGCACAGAGAAAGATCCAAGGAGAAAAAGTCGAAGGAAACCACTCGAGAAAGATCCAAAGATGACAAAAAGAATGCGAAGCGACCTAAGGACTTGAAAGAGAGCTCCAAAGAGTCGCATACAAATCATGCAGAGAAGCCAAGAGATTTTCCAAAGGAGATTTCCCATAGGGACAATAAGGAACAGCCCAAAGAGCATCGCTCGAAGGAAGGAGTGCACGAACAATCAGCTGAAAAGCGTCGAGAGCCCTTGAAGGATAACAAGTCGCGGCCAGGTTCTATGGAGAAATCCTCTGCAAAGTGTTCCAAAGAAACCGCCAAGGACGACAGCTCCAAGGACCGTTCGGGGGAGAAGCCCCGCTTGGACAAGTCACATCCCACGGAAAAGAAGCGTGAGCGCACCAAAAAGCGCAGTCGAAGCAGGAATCGTTCGTCTGAGAGTGAGGATAGGACGCCACCGTTGACGCCTCCGCGCGAACTGTGGCTGCCGCTGCCACCGCTGCCGCCGCCGCCGCCGACTGCTGCCAGTGAAGCGGTGGACATCGATGAGAAGCCAAAAGGTTTGGATATATTCGCCGAATCCCCGCCAAGACAGCAAACTGTCCCTCAGATAGCCCACGTGCCCAGCCCTGCCTTAATCATCAATCGGAGTACGACACCGCCTCTGACAATGCCACCAGTGGCACCCACCGCGAAGGCAGCTCCCCTGCTCAAGGCCAGCGAGATTTACAGTCGCATTGGAGCCCTGCTCGAGGACAATGACCTGCACTTGGAGGCCCTGCTGGCCACCAAGGAGCAGCTGCTGCGCCGCACCAACGAGCACAAGGAGCTGAAAGAAGCACCCAAGAGTGGGCCCCAAATGGAGGTTAAAGCAGCGGCGCAGAAGGCAGTCAGCAGCGACTGGGAGACAGCAGATCATGGCCAGGTCCTGCCGCGCCGTGGGAATCCCTTCAGGAAACAGGAATCAGTATTAAATGAGCGAAGATCAACATCTCGAGCAGCCAGTGCTCTGGGGAATGGCAGCGCCTGGATGTACCGCAGTCAGTCGCGGGAAAAGGAGTCCGGCCATCAGCGACACAGCGACGAGTACAAAGAAATCAGCATTAAGATTGAAAGGAACATCTCCCCGACACCGCTGCCCATGCCAATGATTGATGTAAGCCACATCAAGCTGGAGCGGAATGCGACGCCGCCTTTGGACACGGAGCGGGAGGTTCTCGTGCGGAATGGTGCGGTGGCAGCCAATGCTCCTCCCCCGCCACCGCCAGCCACAGCCCAAGCCAGAGCCACAGCCACAGCCACGGACAAAGGGTCGCAGCAGGAGAGTCCCGACACCGACGACTACATCGACAACTGGGAGAACGACGACTCCTTGAGCAGTATGCCCAAGACAGCTGCTGCCACCAGCATTGCTCCACCATCGGCTGCTATCCGCCCGCTGTCCACCGCCGTGGTGGATGAGGCAACAATTAGTGGCGACTCGAATGAGGACGACACGAATGATCTGTGGAATGCCAAGAGCACACCGCCGCCAAGGCCGAAGGGACCAGCCATTCCATTGGGCGGTGCCAGCCAGGAGCATCTGGTCAACATCTATGACAAGTTCATGAATAGTATTAATATGTCCAGCGAGGGGCAGATGGTGGCGGAAGCCACAGCCTCCAAAAATAGTTCCTTAAGCAATTCCACTGCCGAGACTGAGACCTCCTCCGGCTCCGACTCGTCGACCAGTAGCAGTAGCTCCGACGATGACGATGAGTCCAGCTCAGCGGATGACGACGACGATGAAGAGGAAGAGGAGGAGGAAGATGATAATGATGCTGCTGCTGATGCTGATGCTGTGGAGCAGGAAGCGGCTGAAGGGCACCTTTCGGAAGAGGCAGCCCTGATCTCTGTGGTCTCCGAAGCCTCTCAAGAGTACGCACCAGAGAAGGAGCAGCAGCAACAGCTGCAGCTGCAGCAAAAGAAGAACAACGTGAGCAAAGATTTGCGCAAGCTGAAGAGCCTCGAGGACAATCTGGCCAGGATTCAGATGATGCGCGAGAACTACGATTCGGGGGATGAGATCTCCGAGGAGCTGCTGAAGATGGAGTCCCTGTTCCTCATGCAGCGGAATGCCATCATGGACAAGTATCGCAAGCAGGAGCTCAAGTCCCAGCAGGATGTGCAGGAGAAGCTGGAGCCACGCTCCCCCACTCCCGTGAACAGCATCTTCGATGACAATCGGGAGGCCATCAAGCTGACGCTGTCGCCCATGAAGCTCACCCGAAAGCCGGCCATCTTTGACAACGACGAGACGGAGCACCCCCACCCAGCGCAGCAGCAGGCCGTGAAGGTGAAAGTGGAGGAGGGCCAACGGCAGCACCAGCCACAGATCGCCAGCCAATTGAGGCGCCCCAAGGAGATAGCAATTGTAAAGCCCACCATCGTGGCGACGCGCACCAGGCCCAGGATTCCACGGAGTACGACGCCAGGCGGAGGCAGGCGTTCGGTCAGGGAGAGAACTCGTTCGAGATCGCCCTCCAGGAACCGAGAGCGAGCCTTTCGGCGCGGCAGTGCGCGGGTTTCCAGCCGGGGAAAGGACTCTTCCCGTTCACGCAGCCCGCGTCCCCGCTGGCGTCCCCCCTCCCCCCGACGGGGCATTCGCTTGGGAAAAAAGACGACCGGCATGCGCAGCCACAGCAAAAGCGTGAGTCGTAGTCGGACCCGTAGCAGGAGTCCGAAGCGCAGCAGAAACCGCTTCCAGAAGGTGGGAGGAGGCAACCGACGCCGCGTCTCCGTGTCGCCGGGTCCAGTGAAGTCCCGGCCTCCCCGCTCACCGCCAGTGCATCGACGGCGCTCGTATAGCCGCGAGAGGGAGCGCCTATCGTCGCGATCTCCGCTGCTGTTCAGGCCCCCGTCGCCGCCCATGCGTCGCAGCTGGTCCTCATCCCACTCGCGTTCCCGCTCGCCAGCCAGAAGAAGATCACACTCCAGAACGCGGTCATCCACCAGATCGCGTTCCCGCTCACCCCTCGACGGCCGACGGGAGGACAGGGACTTTGCCGACTACTTTGGGGAGGACCAGAACCTAGAGGCGGCCGCCTACTACTACAACATGTCGCTCCTGCACGGAGAGGCCGGAGGCGAGGACTACGATACCTATGCGGCCTACATAGACTCCGCCTACCACATGGAGCAGGCCTACGCGCAGCTCACCGAAGCAATGGAGATGCCCGCCGGTGTCTACGGGGAGTATGGCGCAGTCATGGAGACATCGCCGGTCCTGCGTGAACTGCCCAAAGCTCACGTGCCACCAGGGGCTGCTGCAACTGCTGCTGCCTCTGCTTCTCCTTGTGAGCTGCTGGAAACCAAGGTGCCCAAAATTGAGCCTGAGCTGCCCAAAGATGCAGCTGCTCCTCCAGTGGCGGTGTCCGTGGCTGTTCGGAAGGGAAATGTCCTGGAAATCGTGCCAACGGCAATCGACGAGGATGAAGACAGGTAAAAGAGAGAGATAGAGATAGATAGAGAGAGAGATAGATATAAAGAGAGAGGGAGATAGAGAGAGTCACTTTGGAATAAATTTATAATCAGTAAACCCCCTCCCGCAGGAAACCCAAGAAGCGTGTCAATTTTGTGGACAGTGTCAAGCCGAACAATGAGAGCGACAGCGAGGATCGTGTTATTGTCATCCGCGCCGTGGACCGGGCCATACAGCAGCACCAGGAGCGACGCGCCAAGGCTGCCGCCAGGCTGCAGCGCCTTCGGGATGAGCTACTGGCCGCACCACCGCCACCGCCACCAGTGACGCCGAAGCCCCCAGACCAGGAAAAGGCGGTGCTCGTGCAGAAGAAGTCCAAGATGCGCTACTTCCACCTGGATCCGCTCAAGCGTGAGATTGTGGTGTCGCACTCACGCGTCCTGCGTCCGCCCATGCCCCGCTTCGATCGCAAGCACTTTGAAATGCTGGTGAAGACGGGTCGCCTGCCGCCGCTGCCGCACGGCTTCCTGCGCCATCGCCCGCCCCTGCTGCCCCGGAACGCAGACCCCGCCACCAAGGCGGCCATGCTCAAGGAGTACTTCAGCAAACACCCGCCGCCTCAAACGCGAATGCAGCTGCCGATGCCCATGCGCATGCCGATGCGGATGCCGACGAGAATGCCCATGCGAATGCCAATGCGGATGCCACTGATCATGCACGATGGGATGCCCATGCCCATGCCCGTGCCCGTGCACAATGGGATGCCCTACTTCCTGAGTGGACCGCCACCCTCGTCGCCGCCAGTGTCGATGCCCATACCCGTGCTGGGGGCCCACCCGTACCAGAGTTATCCGCATCCACATCCACATCCGCATCCACAGCCCGCTTCCATGATGCCAGCGCCGACCAGCGGACTGCTGCCCATTCCCATGACTGTGGCACTGCCAGTGTTCACGCCACCGCCACTGCCCACGTTCACGGTACAGCCGGTGCCCACCATTCGGGAGATAATGCCAGTGGATATACTGCAAAAAATAGGACCGCTGCCCAAGACGCTAGATCTGGATGGCGGCTCCACGCCCCGGGCGGACGAAGTGAAGCTGGACATCAAAGAGGAGCCCTTGGAAGAGGCACAGCTCCTGGTGGAGACCCAATAGCATCCAGTCATCACAGAGCCATCCCGCAGCCCGATCCTCGATCTTCATTTCATAGAAAATAACTTTAGATAATTCTATCTTTAATACAAAAACCACCCCCTCTTTATCTGTAAGCCCAAACCTCCTAAAGGTTTTCTCTATTTTTTTCCCCATTTTCAAAATTGTTTTAAAACTTTTTTTTTACGGACTTATCATGTGAACAAAACGCATTTATATATAAGATTTTTAACATATTTCTTAGTGACTAAGATAGGCACGATCCGACACTGAACATTTATTTGTCCCATGATTTCTAAAAGAAAACACAAATTGTAAATATACGAGTGTATCGGAATAATCCACGTGTACCGGCAGAAACTAAAAAAAAAACAAAAAACATTACATCATATAAAAATATATATATATATACTATATTGATGCATTGAGGCGGTGAAACGAATCGAATCGTTTACTAACAGTGCCACAGTGCGGCAGTAGAGAGGTAGTTCCCAGGGAATCTCCGGCATAAACCGAGCAACCATAGTCCCAAAAAGCAAACATTTCACGCCTTCGAGTCCTAAATTATTATACATATGCAGTTTTTATGCGTTCCAATTGATTATTTATTTTTTTTTAATTATACAAATTAGTTGTTAATTATGATTTAATGCTGAGGATACCTGATGGACTGCTGTCCTCGTGCTACCGCACTGTGTGGGCACTGTAGTCGATCGTTTAGGATTTTAAGTACCGTAATAGCTCTTAAGTTGCGGCGGCCCCCTTTAAGGATGTGCTGCTACCATTATTTCTTTTTTTTTTTTTAGATATAGCCAAATATAAAAAAAAAATACTTCTTACTGCCTAGATGGCTGCCATTCTATGCCCTTCGTGTGAGGAGCAGGGGAAAACAGCTGGCCGGCAAGGCCAGGCTGGCGGGAGTTATCCTAATTGTGGTCGGATCCCCGCTGGACACGTTGTAGCCCTGCAGGAGGTTGGCCAGGAGCAGGAAGCCGAATCCTCTGACCAGATTCTGGCCAATGCACGTCCTCTTGCCAATGCTGAAGGGCAGAAAGTGGGGGATGTTCTTGCGGAGCTGGAACTCCTTCTGGTCGCTTTCGATGCCCGAATCGGAACCCCTGGAGTCCCTTCTGCCTTCTGTCGATGCCTCCAGAAACCTTTGCGGCTCGAACTGGTGCGAGTCCTCCCAGTGCTCTCGACTCCTGTTGAGCACATAGTTGTTGATGAAGACAATGGTGCCGGCGGTGACGCCATGGCCAGAGATCACCAGATCCTCGGTGGCCACATGCGGGACAATCGGAGAGGAGGAGTAGCGCAGCACCTCAAAGATCGTAGCCATCGTGTAGGGCATCTGGTGCATATCCAGTAGATTGATTTTGCGCTGCCCCTTGGAGGATACGGCATCCACTTCGTCCTGTATCCTGCTGCCCACCTGCGGATTTTTGGCTATGTAGGCCAGGGCCAGCATCACCAGATTCCCCACAGCCGAGTGGCCGCCGATGAAGTCCTCCAGCATAAAGATGATCGTGTTGCGTGAGACATCCTTGTCCTCGACCAGACTCTTGAGCAGCGCGTCTGTGAAGTCACTGTCCGGCTCATCCACATCGATGTCCAGCTCCCGGTGACTGATGATCCGATCCATGATGAAGCTCCTTATGGTCGATGACCAGTGGACGATTTTGTTCAAGTGGCGCCGATAGAACGGGTAGAGCCAGGGCAGAAAGTCCAACGGATGGCCCTGATTGATCTCCCAGAAGATCTCATCAAAGTACTGCACAATCTTGTGGAACTCCTCATCGTCGTAGTCGAACCTCTGGGAGCACATATACTGGCTGAACATATTGGCGCAGGCCCGCAGGAGAAACGTCTTCACATCGAAGGGTTCTCCGGGCACCATCTTCGCGTCTATCTCACGGATAAAGTGCTCCATTTCCTCGCAGCCGATCTGGGACATTTGCATGTAGAACGACGAGGATTCCCGCGGAGAGCAGTGGCGCCGGGCCATATTGCGGCGCTTCTGCTGGAGCTGCGACCAGTCGCAAAGGGCCAAGGAGTTGCTCCTCTCGCCCCCAAAGAGCTTGTGATATCGCAGAAAGTCCGGTCGTCCACTGACCACCTTTCCATTCAGATTCAGGACCTCGCGGATCAGTTCCAGATTGTTGACCACCAGGCAGCGGGTATGTCCGAAGGTCAGCGAGTAAATGTCGCCATATTTCTTGGCCAACTCTGTGAATCCCTCAAAGGGATTGTCTCTGTATTTATCGAGAACATTCAGGTTTCCAATGATCGGCCAGGGTCTGGGCCCTGGGGCCTGTTCATATATTTGTTCACTTTCCGTAGAGGATTTTCCGTTCCTTATGGTTACGCACACGCGTCTCCGCGATTTGTATAGAATCCGAATGTAAGACGTGACTATTATAGCCAGTAAAATGGCAAAAATCAAATAGACTATAGACATTTTCGCGTAGTTCTTGCCACTTGGGCACATAAACAGCAACTGCTGATGGCCCAGCGCATCGAATCAACAGGTAACCTACGTCTAGGGTCCTTCTCAAGGCTCTGGGAATGTTCCAGACATACCTGGAACCTTGGGCCAGAACTACCTGTAACTCTAAGGGTTTTTTTTGCCTTTCGCAAGGAGAACATGTATCGTCTTGAACGAGACACTGATAAGAGAGGGACGGATAAACCAGTAGGATAATGTGCATATTTATTACAGCTATTACTTGTGGACCATGGCGAAAAAAGGACACAAACCAGCTTAAGAAGCTCTGGAATGGGATTAGATGGGTTTTTATTGTTATGGTAAGATTATTCCCACATTTAAAGTGCAAATTATTATTATTTTATTATTTTCTGTGATCTTATGGGCACGATCCGTAAAACTAAGATATTCTATGTGGGTGTACTTATTTTGCTTCTTTCTATGTCAGACTTTATTTGGAATTACTCTTTGAGTTTATCCTCCGAAAAGGGACCCATGTTGGCGGCATAGGCCATCATGGCTGGAATGGAGCTTTGCTCGTAGTTTCCGGTGAACAGATGCTCGAAGGGACCCGAGGCGAAGACGCCCACATCCTCGGCGCCATGGGTCTCGCTGCTCAGCGGAACAGTGGCCTGGAAACGGAAATCCGCAGCCGTTGTGTCCACATGGGAGAGATCCAGGCGTCCGTTGTCATCGCTGTAGGTGTTCGCGCCGCTGCCAGGGCCATTGGCATACGAGAGAATGGTGAAGGGCAGCTCGTCGTCCGCCTGATTGGGGGCCAATGAAAAGATGTTCTGGCGGCGGCTCTACAGGAGAAATAAGGGAAGGAAGGACCGATTAGAAGATTGATCGCCTGACTGAAGCAACTCTCAGCTTACAGGATAACCATTTATGGACATGGTGTGCGAGTGATCCGATGTGACCACAATCAGAGTGTCATCCTCATTTGTTAGATCCCTGGCCAGCTTCACAGCCGCCGCGAACTCCGCGGTATCCTCGAGCGCCTTGTGGGCCAGCGTGGCATGATGGGCCATGTCGATCCTGCCGCTCTCCACGAACAGGAAGTAGCCCTGATCGTTGCGACTCAGCAGCTTGATGGCCGACTCTGTCATTTCGGAGAGCGAGGGCTCCGCGTACTCCAAGTGGGAGCGCTGCCGGTCGCCGTGGTAGGGCAGATGGGAGGCGTCGAAGAGACCCAGCAGATAGTCGGTCTGGTTGAGATCCGTTTCCTTGAGGCCCTTCAGCGACCAGACATAGTTGCCCTTCGCTCCGCGATTGGCCTTGTCCTCCTGCCAGTCCTTGATCAGATCACGGCCATCGTTGCGCAGTCCCCAATTGCCCTCCTCGTCGTGCATCAGCTGATCCCGGAAATAGGCCCGTCCGCCGCCCATGATCACACGCAGATCCCGGCCCACGTTCCACTCGACCAGCTGGCGGGCAATGTCCGTGTTCACTTCGGTGCTGCAGCCGTAGTCGCTGATCTGGCCGTCGTGCTCCCAGTTCCGCTCCGCGGTGTGGGCGTAGACGCCAGCCGGGGAGGCATGAGTCACGCGTGCCGTGGTCACCAGTCCCGCCCACTTGCCCGCCTCCTGTGCCCACTGGCCAATGCTCTGGGTGTGGGTGCTGGCGTCGGCGCCTCGCACACAATCCGCTCGCTCCACCTGGGCATTGACGCCAATCGTGCCGTAGTTGGCCTTGACGCCCGAGAGGTAGGCCGTGGCCGTGGTGGCCGAGTCCGGGGTGCGCTCGTCCACGGCATATGTCTTGGAGAGTCCCAGGTAGGGGAACTTCTCGAAGTAGACCTGCTTGTTGCTGTCCCCGAGGAAGGCACGTGTGGCCGCCACCGTGTGCACCGACATGCCGTCGCCGAGGAACATAATCACATTCTTGGCACGGTTCTCGTTGAGTTTTTCATGGGTGGCCAGCTTATCGGCGAGAATGGTCTGGGCCTTATCGTGCCAGAAACGTGTTTCCAGCTCCTCGTCAAGTGCCACAAAGTCGCGTGATGGCAGCAGACGGGGATGTTGGTCTATTTTTACAATCAACAAAAATTATTGAACTTTGTATTAAAATCTAATCGTTGGTTAATCAGCTATAATTAGGGTTCATAAATATGGTAATGGTCTATGATTTCATTTCTGTTTTCAATAATCATCTAATCCTTGGATCTAATCCTTGGATCTAATCCTTGGATCTAATCCTTTGATTCAAACGAACCAGGACACCCGTGATTTCCGGCCCTGCCATCCGCAATGCCCCCACCCAATTCTCGACTTTCTTCGAACATCCCGTACAGATCTAATCAATTCCAAGCTATTATTATATTTGTGCCCCAGACTCTTCAACTTTCTTTCTTCCGCCATAAATATTGATCCAATCGATATCTAATCAGCTCAGTTTGACTTTCTTTCCATAACACTTTAGCTCTTTGGCATTCATATAACCTTCCGAATCGTGTCAATTTATGATCCCATCGTTCGGATTGAAGATTTCCCCGTTTTACATCTGCTAACCTCCAAATCCAAGTACTTGATGCTTGTGATTATGAAATAATTAACATCGCAAATGATTTACGTTTGAAAGTAACTCAAAAATAGATTTCAGATAAGATTCCGATCTTAATAAGCGAACAAGATTTCAGATACACAATCGCGGGGCATTGGTTTTCTATTGGTCGTAGATAGGAGTATGCGCGTTTTGGGGTTTTCAACGAATGATCGTTGACGACCGATTGCTTTCGGTTCGTAACGTTTAACGTACGAACGGTGCCACTTACCATTCTCCTGCTCTTCGGATAGCCCGGCCCGTACTTTGGGTGGGATCGCCGAGGACGAGACCAGCGCGACCACAAGCGCCAGAGAGCCCAATATGAGAGGCACAAAAGTTTTCTGCATCTTCAGACGGTTGCCGTTAGACTGTCCAAATTAGCCGAATCGAATCGGTTATATAGCCACCGATTTTGCACACTTTGTTACTGTAATACTGCTGTATAGTACGTGTATTATATGATTGTGTTTTTGTGATTTGTGGAATCTAAAGTGGCCATCGATTAATGATTATCTCGAGTGGCGAATGGAAACGTGAGTATCACGGTCTGGCCAAGGAGGAGCCATAAATTCTAGCCCCTGGCCACTGCCCTATCGACTCCTCACACGAGCGGCACCTGATCTGGATCGGGGGCTATATAGCGGCCTGTTATGTGCTGAAAAGTACAGTATTCACTTGGCTAACGCAGTGAAAGCAACGTGGAGAGAGAAATGACTCTGACTCTGAAGTTCTTTGTGGGCCTGGGCCTGATCACCCTGGCGCTGGGTGCAGCGGTGCCCAAAAGGGCACCCGTAGATGACGAGGAGTCCATGCATCCGCATCTGCCAAGGAGCGCCCGTGCCAGGACGAGCAGTGAGGAGGCGACCCAGGCATACTGGCACGCGGCCAGCAAGCAGCTGCTGCGGGAAAAGCTGAGCCATGTGCGAAACACGAACCGGGCCAAGAACATCATACTCTTCCTGGGCGACGGCATGGGACTGGCCACGCTGGCTGCTGCCAGGAGCTACATTGGCGGCGAGGAGCAGAAGCTCTCCTTCGAGGAGTTCCCCTTCACTGGCCTCTCGAAGGTCTACTCCGTGGACAAGATAGTGCCGGACAGTGCCTGCACCTCGACCTCCTATCTGTGCGGCGTGAAGGCCAACTACGGAACCATCGGTGTGAACGGCCATGTGCTGCGTGGCGACTGCCAGGCCATGGCCAATGCCAGCAATCATGTGTTCTCCCTGGGCAAGTGGGCTATGGACAGCGGAAAGGCGGCCGGACTGGTCACCACCACGCGCGTGACCCATGCCTCGCCCTCGGGCGTGTATGCCCACACGGCGGACCGCGAATGGGAGAACAATGCCCTGCTGGAGGAGGGCTGCGGCGAGCAGGCCGAGGGACTGCAGGACATTGCCATGCAGCTGATATACGGGGAGGTGGGCAGCCGGCTCAAGGTGATGCTCGGCGGCGGCAAGAGGAACTTCTACGATCCCGAGTTCTATGACAAGGGACGTCGCACCGATGGCCGCAATCTGGTGGAGGAATTCGAGGCGCTGGACGCTGGCAACACCTTCGTGAAGACCCAGAAGAAGCTGCTCAAAGTGAATGCCACAGAGACGGGTCGTCTGCTGGGGCTCTTCAGCAGCGGCCACATGCACTATCATGTGGAGCAGCTGGCCGATCCGGAGAACAACGAACCGACTCTCGAGGAGATGACGGAGAAGGCCATCGAAGTGCTGGAGACCGAGGAGGAGGGCTACTTCCTCTTTGTGGAGGGCGGCAAGATCGACATCAGTCATCACGATACCATGGCGCGCATAGCCCTCGACGAGACCGCCGAGCTGTCGAAGGCTGTGAAGCGGGCCCGCGAGATCACCAACCCGGAGGACACCCTGATCGTGGTCACCTCCGATCACTCGCATACGTTCAGCGTGGCCGGGTATCAGCCCCGTGGCAGCGACATCTTTGGATCGGCCAAGGCGAACGGCCTCGATAATAAGCCCTACCTGCCCCTCAGCTATGCCAATGGCAAGAGCTTCGACTATTACTACAACACGGAGACGCACCAGCGGGAGGATCCCGTCGTCCTGGCCACCGGGGACTTTGATCAGCTCTTCCCAGCGATGGTGCCACTCGAGTCGGAGACGCACGGTGGCGAGGACGTGGCCGTGTTTGCCTCCGGTCCGTGGGCGCACCTCTTCACTGGAGTGTACGAGCAGAACACCATTCCGCACATGATGGCCTTTGCCGCCTGTGTGGGCGATGGGCTGACCGCCTGCCAGGCTGCCACCAACTGATTGACAGCCAGAAGGACTCTTAATTAGGGCTTGACCACTTGACGATTCTCACGTCCGCTTTATCATCATCAATATCAATGAATACTCAAAAGATTGATAGATGCCTGACGCACCGTTCCGCCTGAAAGGAGCTCAAGAAACGAAATTAGATTGGGGATTACTTGTACATTCTATAAGACATAATTTCCAATCAATAAATACCACATATATATACATATATAAATATATATATAATCAATATAGTTGAATTTGCTTATCTGTTTCAAAGATTTTCACATGACTTTCATGACGTTGAGGGTTTTACCTCTGGGTATATTCATTCATTATATTCATATAATCCCCTGTCCGTCATGCTATATCTAGATTTTCTACCTTTGAAGAGTTCCTAGGTTCCTATGTACCTAGTCTCAATACTCAATATATATTCTCTGCCCAGTCAAAGGTTCTTTACTAATCGATGGCAGTATGATGAAATCCATTTAGTGACGTATAAAGTTGTACCTTTGGGCGGATAAAGTGTGTAGTGTCTGTTATGATCGGGATCTCTGACACACCCTAGATTTATAAGGTCTACTGATTGTCATAGAAGAGAGGTATCAGAAGAAAGAGTGGTATCTGTCAGGGGCTCTCCTAATCTCTGACAAATAAAACCCATAGCGTCACATGATCTATTCAATGTGTTGGGCCCCAACTAATCCTATCAATGCTAGTACACACGAACCCAGATACGGTCTGATCTGACGAGCTTATCTTTACTCATGAAATGTCTTTCAAGTTCTGTGAAATGCATCTGATGACGACGAAAGAGCAGAAAGCGGACTCTGATTTTAGCAAACGATGACGATGACGCGTATCACTTCTGCTGTTTTGACAGCCCGTCTAGCTGGACGTCTGATAGACATCTTAAGCTCCCAGAAGCCAAGTGACAAGAGTCGCCAAATCATGTGGCAATATAAAATATATTGCGCAAAAATATATGCCCTATCTATCTGATAATTGCTGCAGATACAAAAATCGTATTTGTATCCCAGCCATTTCTGGGAAATTCAATTTGAGGCCTTCTGACGGTTGAGACTCAAATCGAAAGACCTATCAAATGCCTGATGGGAGAGAAAGTCCGCTCTTGGATCGTATCATTACTAAGAAATTCGATTTGCCAATTGGATTTCCAAGAAATGCATCTAAACATAGTAAAAAGAGCTGGCTGGTAAAAAAAAGTGGTCCGATCAATCTAAATGTAAAAAAAAAATTCAGTACTTTATTTATAACTTATTTGGGAGCTGCCTGTGTCTCAGAGAATGACCGCGTATCGATTGCCGCTCCTTGGCTGCATGAGTGTGGCATACTTCTCCTTCAGCTCGACCAGAGCCCGCTGGAAGCTCTCCATGCTGTTGCCGAGCTGGCTGGGATGGTGCTGGGCGATGGGCGCCTCGGTGGGACGCTCGCCGAGCAGAAGGATCCGCCGCCAGTCGCTGGCCTCGGAGTTGCCGCGCAGGAAGTCCTTGCCTCGATTGCCACTGACCGCGAACACAGTCTCGTCCAGGACCTCGGGCGTTACGGTGGTCTGCTGCTGCTCGCCGGGCGTGGCCTGGGTGGGCGGTGGCGTTATGCCCGACAAGGAGGCCGACGTGGGCTGGAGCGGTTGAGGCGGCTGTGGCGCTGGATTGGTTGCTGAAGCACCCAGGGAATCGAAGAGTTCATTGGGAACATCCTTTGGGGGATCGATCCGCAGCACCTGGCCATCGGGCGAGATGTGGTAGAACTGTGCGCGTCCAGTTAATCCCGTTCCCGCACCCGAGGGAATCACTATGATGTTGCCCACTGCAGAGGTCAAAGCGGAGGCGGCATTTCCACCGCCTCCTCCCACCTGAGTGGACAAAAATGGTGGCACGGGAACTCCCAGAGGAGGAGGGTATGCCCTGATCGGTGGCGGCACTGCCGGACACGGGAAGCAATATCCAGGCGGGCCTGGGGGTCCGGGAAGACCTCTCGGTCCTGGAATGATCGGCAGATTCGGAGTGAAAGGAGGCGTGGGTGGATAGGGCCAAAAGCCGCCACCATGTCCTCCGCCAATGCCACCACCACCGCCACCGCCACCGCCGAAACCAGCTCCAGGCGGTCCCGGAGGTCCCGGGGGTCCTCGCTCTCCAGCTGGACCAGGATCACAAGAGCATTTCACCAGCGAAGCCTGAACGCCTGAGCAAATGCAAATGCCTGTAAGCGAAGGATGTTTAGTAAAAGAAAGCCCGGTCCGGTCCAGCCCGTTGTCTGTCAAAACTCACCCAAAAGAAGGATAGCCAAGAGGACAGAAGATCTCATGCTGTGGTTGCGGAAGAGACTGATCTGAGCAATGACCTGGGATCGGGCTTTTATAAGGTTCATCTTCAAACCGCCGCAGAGGCTGGATTGACAGACATTTAAATATGTAAATAGAATCGGAAAATACATTTTCCCGCATCACCTTTATCGGCCATAACTGTTCTTGGCCCACAGCATCGAAAGGGAGATGGGCCGCACATCAAATGGAAAAACGCTATCAACATCCATCGGTTCTGACATTTATGATAATTTATGCAACAAGTTGGCTACATGCCTACATATATACGAGCGTCATTAGCCAGAGACCAAGCCACGTTAGAGACTCACAAACTGGGTCAGCAGGGTTCTATTCCAATGGATACATTGGTACAGAACCATCAGCAGTGCATCTGATGTCAATCAAGTCGTAAAATTTGTTTAAATCAAACCATTTATGTGGAGGTGGGCAGAGATGGGGACCGCTTGGTGTCACATTAAACCCTTCAGTCCATACGTTTTCTTTTACGCTTCAACACTTTCCAGAAAATTCCAGCAAGCGCCGTTATAGTTTTATCAAAATTAGCATAAATTACCAAACGAATCTTTGGTTCTTGTTGGACTGGAAATGAAAAGGTTCTGCCCGCCCTGTTACAGTTCCGACATGTCGGAGCATACCATTGACTACACAAAGGCCCCCGAGAATACACGCGCCATTAGTGCCCCACTCCTGCGTCCACTCCATGTATAAGTGGAGACTTCCAGGGAGCGCCATGTGACATTGGACCCCTCCAGAGCGCTTAGATAAGGGCGGGGAGGCACAGATAGCGGAACAGACAAAGGAAACTCCGACTATCGTCAGAGCATAACCCACTCTGCCGTGCCCTATACGGACTCGAAGTATGCCCAAAATACTATCGATAATCCGACACACAAAAAATGTCTTTATCAATGGCGCTGTCATGGAATAATCCCAAAAGTACTTACCCCAGCTATGCCTCTGTTGCCTCCCTGCAAATCGAAAAAGACAACAAAAAAAGAATAAGAAATTGGCGCTTACGCCTCCACTCTAATAAATTGACAGATAAGCTTTTGAGAGCAAATTAACAACAAATATTTTAAAAAAATTTAAGAGAGCTGATTAACAACGATGGTGATAGCATCTGATGCAGCTAGGCTTTGTGGGGGGGTTTCTTGGCTTTTCATATTGAATTTATTATTTATTATTTATTAGATTATCGACTATTGCTAATCAGCACATTTCATCTGCATCGTACATAAACTTAATTGGCGCAAACAAATTCAAGTCACATTTTGTTGCAATTGCATAGATTTGATAAGTTTTCTAGGCATACAATTTAAATAATATATGTATTTAGACATAGGCCATAGCACGTAGCCGAACAGTACATTTTTCGAACCCAAAGATCTCAAGTGGGAGGGTTTTTCTTGTAAACAATTCGTGGAACATCAAATACTTTTAATTTTGATACACAAGAAGATGAATATTAAGATTTAGAATAAGGTTCAGTTAAGATGATGTGTTTCTGTTCTGTTACATGTTTAATTATTTTGGAGAGCGAGTTAGCTGATGAACAACAGAGAGTTATCGCATTGATTAGATCAAAATGAAGTGGACGAAATTGATTAGTTTTCGAATTGATTGCCATTGTTTTATGGCATCATTAAATGCAACTAACTAAACTCTCAATTTGGATCCAATACATTTTTACAATTGATTTGAAGTTGTTCCATTTTTGTACATGATTATCAAACGGTTGCGATATTGTATACATATGTACTATGGCCATGCCTATACATAGATAAATTGAATATATAATCTTTGGTGCGAATACATCGGACTGGCATTCATTTTCACACCAACATGAGAAGTGATCTCTGAGAAACTAACAGAAATAAACAGGGGATGCCAACACAGCGTGGGAGGTCGAATGGAGCAAAAGAAAACACGCAGAATATTGTTAACTAAAGCTCTACTAAGTAAATACAATAGTAGACTGTTTCCGATGATATACAGATCTGGGAGGGGGGGTGGTGCGCGGTTGGGGGTTGGGCGGATCATCTGATCTTCATCCTAGTCTATTTTCACATTGGAATAAATTTTGCGCACGAACAGATTCGTGCCAACATAGCCGACAGTGCCACAAATGATGCCCAAGGCGCCGCTAAACAGGGCCATATAGCCGAAGTAAAACGCCGTCTGGAACAGGCCAAACATTCTGAAAGGCAAAAGGGATTAGAATTCCATATTCATTCCAGAATCCAAAGGGTAGACTCACTTGGTTTTAAAGAAGAAATAGTAAAACGAGTAGGCATAAACATAAATGGAGGTGGATCCCGCCGCCATGAAACTCGTCCACTGCCATCGGTAGTCCTCTGCGTTGAGCAGGAAGTACGTGCACACAATCGTCACACAGACGGTGACAATGGTCAGGATGGTGAAGACCAGCAACATAAATCCATAGACATAGTAGATTTTGTATGCCCAAAATGAGGTGAAGATGAAGTACCTGAAAAATGGATAAATATACAAGATTACAGGATGTCTCTGCGATATTCGGAAGGTTTTTTCTTACATCTCAATGAAAATAGAGCCAAAGGGAAGAACCCCACCAAGCAGCACAATGATCAGCGGTTCCATGTACCACTTCTTTTCGGGAATAGGTCGCGGCACCGCATTCACGCGACAGGGGAAATCCGGCTGGCCATCTAGATTGCGGCCCACCACAGTGCCCACGAGGGTCAGCGGCAGGATGACGAACAGGCAAATGCACGTGACGGCCACCATGGTGCCAAAGGGAATGGCGCGGGAGGCATGGTAGCCAATGGCAATGAAATTGATAAGGAAAGCCGTACCGCAAACAGCCACAGGCACTGTGAAGGCCGAGGCCAGCATCTGTCTGATCCAAAGGCGTCCACCCAGACGGGCATAGAGCGATCCGCCAAAGTATCCATTTATGGGCGAGGTGGCGGCATACACAAATATCGCCGTGGACAGCATGGAGCCACGTTCCGTGTAGAGTTCGCCGACAATGGCAAACATGATGACGCAAAACACAACAGAGATGAGCTGATAGCCAGCTCCGACCAAAGCAGAGAAGAGCAGCGTGTGGGGTGGGGAGCGGAAGACATCGCCATGGACCTGTTTCCAGCCATACTCATCGCCCAGATCGCGCTCCATGTCGTCCACCTCCTCATCCTTGCTGTAGCGGGCATAATCCTTGCGCAGAGTGCGCATCAGAATCATGGACACAAGGCCCACCAGGAAGATGACCATCATGAAGCTGTTGAAGATGCTGAACCAATGGATCTGTAAGAAATGAACGCTTAAAAAAAGCAGCGCGGATGATGTCATGTATTTCTCACCCTGTGTTGGAAGAAGTTGGGATCTAGATACTTGTCGAAGCGGTTCTTGAACTCCACCTTGCTGGACTTCCAGTTGACCTCATACGAGAAATTGATCTGTGCCCCTGGCTTTAGTTCCTCCCGCCCATCCGTCGTCAGTGTGATGTCCACAATCTGCTGGCCATTATAGCCAATGTCGAACCGTTTGTGCGTGAAGATATAGTACTTGCCATCGCGATCGTCCCGTTCGCCCACCTTGCCCCAGATGGGCAGGCCATCGATGTACATCTGGTACCAGTACTCATTCATCACCGCATAGGTGAAGGCCTTGACGCTCTCGTCCGCCAGCGTCACCATGCAGATGGTGGATCGCTGCACGTCCGTCTTGAAGTCCATCTCGTAGCCACTGAACTCCAGCTCCACTCCCTGGAGAGCCTCGCTCAGCGTCTCGTGGTAGTGGGAAATGGACGACTTCCCACCGCTGCAGAATGGCAGCGAGAAGTAGGCATACGTCTCCTGACGATTGTGGTACGGCCCCACCGTGTTCATCCACAGGACCACTTCCTCTCTGTCATTGTACTGGAATGGGAATCGGATTGCGGAATGCGGAATGCAGTTCGGTCAGCAGTTAGAACAGGTGCATGCAAACTCACCTTGTGATTGTGCTCGTCTGCTTGCGACTGCGACACGTAGCAGCTGCCGACGACGAGCAGACATAAACAAATTGCACGGAACCGTAGCTGCTGTGGCATCGTACCCATGCTGGCGAGAGGTGCGTGCGTTTGGTTGTCGATATTGAAGGGTTTGTTCAGCAGGAGCTGTTCCTGTGCCAAAAGTCGTTGAGTTCCCCCAACAGGATATGATGTCAAATATGTTTGTTTCAACAATAATTTTGCCGACAGAAAAATATTTCTCGTTAAAACTACACATTTGCTACATAATGGGAGGAAAAAGAGGGTATGTACAACAGGCAAAATGGCCCAGAAAATTCAACGCAGGCTATGTAAAATCCACCCCATATTCCCAATGTACTTTGCCGATTTTGTCTTCAAGGTATGTTGTCCTCACACGCGAGGTGAAAGTTCGTACGAACCCTGCAATTTGCCTTGGCTGTTTTTGCCCGTTGTCCATACCCCTTTCTATAGCCCATTCATTATGAGCGTCTGACCTCAAAAATATACCGAAATATACCTTCTCATTTTCAAAATATACCGATGAAAATCTTACTTAACCCACTAAACGCCCTCTATTTAAACACGAACACCTTGAGCTAAACCGCGGAAAATAGTACTGTTATTAAATTCTGTTTTTATTCATCTTAAATGACCAAGATATTTTTCAACTGAACTTCGCTTAAATTTTTCAGGTTTTATTATCTTCGTGTAGTGTATTTGAATACCCCCTGGTCTACAATGGTCTACAATCATATTACTCGATTTTGATATTCGGTGGAATATTACTAGATAGCTAGGACCCTCTGTCCTGAACACATAATTGTATCCGACTGATAACAATATTCTACACGAATGGCTAATTATTCAACTCCCTTTTATTGAATTTTTCATAAGAAAAGGTTTAAACAAAAAATTCCAAGTTAGTTCTGGTTCGGGAACTAGAATACACGTCATTTGGCCGTCAGCTGAAGCTACCCAGCTGTACCTTCATCGATTCAGTGTGGCCAGACTGAGCAAAGTCGGGTGGCAGCAAATTAATTGAAAAGACAACCATTTAATTCTACTTTTCTTTTATTAATTGTAATTAAAAAGTAATTTCAAATCTGTTTGAACTCATTAAGTGGTTTGTTAACTCTCTGTTGTGAGGCCATCCTTATCATCGATGCCGTATTTTCTTGTTTATGTGTCCGCTCTTCTTCGCCGTGGCACTGGAGCTGGACGTGAGTTTGCTTTTTGTTGTGGAAGTGGGTGTACCCAGTAAATCTTTGTTGGTTCCTCCGGATCCGCTGCTACCCGTACCCCCTCCTCCCCCACTGGCAGACAGGCTTCCCTCATTCCGATGCGAGGGTGAATCTGTGGGGATAAAAGTGCGACACGTTAATGAGAGCATTTTTCAGGATATCCCAGCCATACATACATTCATTCTTTTGGGTTATTTACAAACTAAATTTATGTAAAATAATATGCATAAAGGAATCGCAACCCGTCGGGACCTGATAGCATCTCCACCTTACCCTTTTCATCTTTTGGTGTGCTTTTGATTGTCGTGGCCCCGTCATGGGCTGTGGTCGTATGCTGGTTCATTGAGATCTGATTGTCGCTGGAGTCCTCATTCGTTATGGAGTCCGATTCACTGGCACGCTCGGCTGGCAGAAGGAAGAGATGTGTAGAATATGTTTTCTTAAAGGCTTTATCCACTTACGGTTACATATAGCCATTGAGGTAATGCTGGATTTTGAGAACAGGCGCTCGGCTTCCTTGAACTTTCGATTGCGTTTGTCGGCCTTTGAGTTGGTGGCTTTGTTGGAGGTGAGGTAGCGTTCCCAGCCGCGTATTATGTTGCCGCACAGTTGCGTGTCCTCCAGATAAGAGCCCTCGAAGGCATATATCTGGCGTTCCAGGTTGGCCAGTTGCTCCTGTGGGTCACAAGATTGATATAATTTGTTGTACAAACCCGTGTTTGTGCATGTCTCACCGAAGTTTCGGCCTTCTTTTTTATGAGGTCCGCCAATTCCCCGCGCGAGTCCAGAGTGCCACCCTTGGCGTTGGAGTTTGTTTTGCCCGACTTTTTCGGCTTGTTCCCGTTCGTTTCGCTGGCATTTTTATTTGTTGGCGAACTCATCTCGTGCCTATTTTGTATTTTTGTTTGTTATTTTTCGTAAAATTAGGTAAAACTGTTCACACATGTAAACAATAGCGATGGTGATCAGTGTGACCGCAGATTATCAATGAAATGTACGGTCTGACCCTCAGAATATACCAAAATATACCGTTTTAGTTAGAACATATACTGATGAAAAAAGAACTTAACCCACTAGGCCCCCCTCTATTTACACAGAACATAACACCTTGAGTTAAACAGCAAAAAAAAAATGGTACTGTTTGTAAATCCTTCAAATCCATCTCAGATCAGCAAAATTGTCCATCGACAGTAAGTGCCTAATATATTTTTTGCTCGCGGTTGGGTGTCACCTGGTGCACATTATCTGCGTTTGTTTTGTGTTTGATGGAAATATCGATTTGCACTATATCGATATGAAGAGTTACATTCATTTGTCCATAGAGGGCGATGTTGTTTTGCTCACAGGCGCCGTCTGCTGGAGTTGAAGTGTAAATTCAATGAAGCGGTTAGAATTTGAATTTGAAGAAATTAAATTGAATTATGCGTATTTTTCAAAATATGTAATTGAATGCATAAATTCTCACAGCCATCAATTTTAATGGATATAGTTTTTCTCTTGCGCTGCAAAGTAATATCCCCGAAGTTTTCATATGTATATGTATTTCTTAATTATTTAATTTACAATTTTCCGCCGATGCGGCCGCCACTTTACATTGAATTTCTTTTTCCGGCGCCTCTCTGCCATTGACCTCGCTCTATGGCATTTCTTTGCATGCGTATTTCCCAAACAAAAGACTGGGTTCATCTTCAGCACCATCATCATCATCGTCTAACGATCTCCATGGTGGCGGCTTTCGTAGTTTATTGACCCAAGTTCCCTTCTTCTTTTGGTGCCCAAAGTTTGTTGAACTGCCGAAAAAAAAAAGTGAAGCGCTAGCTACCGTTCTAGCTGTGCCTTCGCTCTCTCTCCCTCTTCCCGCTTTCCTCTCTTTACCTTTCCCACTGCGTAGGCCTTTCGCTCTCTGTCTCTCCCTGTTTCTCTTTTACTTGGCTTCGTTTTGGGCCTTCGTTTTATGGCTCGCGCCTTGCCTATTTCACTTTCGTCATACGCGGCGTATGCGTGATTTTATTTCGCATCGCATCGCGCGCTCGCTTTTCTTTGTTGACCAACGCGGAATGAAATCTGCTTGGAAAACGATATCAAACCGAAGACGAAGACGAACTCGATTAGAAAATGAAATCATAATGCCACGGAAAGAAAAACCACTGGAAAGACAGCAAAAGCGAAACGGCAACGACCGTTGCAAGTCTTTGACTAAAACAAAGTCTGCTGCCACGTTCCACTAACAGACTGAGAGACAAGACCAACTGAACTGAACACTGATGGACTAACCGACTGATAGACTGACTGACTGACTAACTGACTAACTGATAGACTGCCGCCTTCTATGTGTGTCAAACATTGGCGCGCGCGTTCGCCAAAAGCAAAAAAAAAAAACTTTCATTTTATTTAAACAAACACACACAAGGCGCGGCCGCGGCGGCGTCTATTGCTACGGCCTGGGCCGTGGTCTTCGTCTTGGACTTGGACTTGGAAAAACTTATTTTCATTTCGGTTTTAAGCTAACATCTTGGCAGTGCCACCCGCCCCTCCCCTACCCACCCTTCCGCTCTTGCCAATTGACTCCAGTTTACAATAATTTTTATGATGAATTGCTTGGCCGCGTGTGAAATCTGCAGTAGGCAGCGGCAGTGGCAGCAGCAGCAGCAGCAGCAACGGCAGCACTCGCGCCACTGGCTGGGGGAAAAGTGGAAAACTGCCAGAAAAGTGGAACACAGCTAAAGAAGCAGCAACAACGTTGCAAGTGCAACGGCAGCGACTGCAGTGGTTGAGGCAGTGGCAGTGGCAGAGGCAACACTCTCGACTAATTAGCTGCGTTTTAGAAATTCAGGCGGCAATGAAAACAAAATCGAGTTCAATGCTTACCACGATGACGCTGTTGTTGCTGCCGCTACTGCTGCTGCTGCTGTTGCAAGTGTGTTTTCGACTTTTCCAAGAATTTCACATATAGCAGCGCTTTCCCGAGTGAAAATGAGTCTGCCAGATTTTGGACAGAAATGGAAAACTGCTTAAAAATGCTTAGCAAAAAGGAAAGAAAATGCTAGATTTAAGCAAAGAGCGGGAAAAGCCAGGCCACAGAAAAGTCCATACTGAAACTGAAGCAAGGAATGGAAAATTAAGAATCTATCAAATTGATTCAGAAAATTATTCACCCCCAAAAAATAAGAAAAATCTAAGCTTAATAATGGCATTCATTAATCGAAGAGCAGGGAAAGAAATCAAATCATCATCGACCCTTTGTGGATGGGTGGCGGGTGGCGGGTGGCGGGTGACAAGGGCAGGGGAAGCAGCGCCGGCACCAGCAGTGACATCATACACGTAGTAAGAGATAGCAACAGAAAATGCACTTGCCGTAAAGCATTCACACACTCGCACACTCGCACAAAAGCTAAGTCAAAGCTCTCTTAAACTAGCGGGCTGCTCTCTTTTACACGAAACTCTCTTTCTCTTGCACTCTAAATCAAGCGCACTCATTCGTTCGCCTGCTCTCTCTCCCTCTCTCTCTCTCTCTCTCTGTCTGTTTGGCCAAAGCTCTAGTTTTTGTTGTTGTGCAAAATGCCGGAAGAAACTTGATCTTGATTATTTTCTATGCACTCGCGCTCTGCTCTGTGCTTGTGAGTGTGTGAGAGAGCGAGCGCGAGCGAGTGCGCAAAAAGTTCAAGTTGAATGTCGCGGCCATCATGGGGGGCTGTCTCTCTCTCTCTCGCTCCCTCTCTCTGTATTTCTATCGCAGCCCATGTGTGTGGGGCGTCACAATTTGCATTTGCTGTGTGGGCCTCTCGCATGCAGTTTTTTTTTCGTTTCGTTTCGTTTCGATTTTGTTCTAAACAATTTGAAAGCTTTTTTCCATCATCATTGTAGTTGTTCGTGTGCATCGCTCTCGCGTGCATTTCGTTTTGCGATGGGAGGGGGCGCGGTGGGGGTGCCAGCGCAGTGGCTGAGGGGCAGCTATAGAACTATTTGTGTGTGGGCTTCAACGAAAATCGTAATTGTTAGTCTAACGAACACATACCACTCATATTAACAATACATTTCCCCAGATTCACTACGGAGTTGAATGCCTTTTGTTCGGTAATCTATTTTAATTGTTTTAACCCATTTGGCGGGCGTGATAGCCTGACACTGTGTGTTGGCTCGTTGAGGGTTAAGGTTTGGCTTTGCACCAAGGGAATTGAGGAAAATTGATGGAAATTATGAATAATTGTTAGCTAGTTGGGTGCTTTTATTTGATTTGGAATGGGAATTTTCAATAGTGTATATTCTGATTGGAGTGCAGCACACTGGACACCGGTATCTCTATTGATTTTCATCAGGATTACCAATATTTCTACATACTCGTATTACCTGATGCTCTGCTGTGTGCTAAGCATTTTCCTTACAATTTTCTAATGGCCACTTGAGTATGGCTGTGTACCTTTAGCACCTTTTTGAGTATTACTACCTTGGTTAACTAATCATTTTTACTGACCAAACGAACCCTTTTAACTGTTTGCCCAAAAACAAAAACAAAAAAACGGTATTGACCAACATCAAACACAAATTCCCAAGAAAACCAACAAAAAACACGAGAGGGAGATAGGAAGACAGAAATGCAATCAAAGTTAGGTAAGAGAACTGACCTTTAACAATGCTGCACACAGATCGACGACGACGACGACGACGACATCTCTCCAGCCTCTCCATCGAAGCTCCTCTTTCACTGCCGCTCTTTCTTTCTCTCTCTGTTTCTACCCAAAAGCAACATTCACCCAAAAACGTCACAAACATTCCTTTTTCAAGAGACAAGACAACAAGAAACACACACAGAAAACTTTTTTCCCAAAGCAAACGAAAGCCCAGCTCAGTAAAAAAGAGAAAAGCAAACTGAAAGACGGAAAAAGAATGAAAGAAAAAAACCAGGAGAGAAGGAGAGCCAAAGCCAGCGGCCGAGCCAGAGCCAGAGCCAGACAGATGCGAGAGAGCGAGAGGGAAAGAGCGTGGTGGCAATGGATGGTAGAGGCAGAGTCCAAAGAGGTGGGAAGAGGAGGATGAGGAGGAGGAGGATTGGTAGAGGAAGACCAAACGGAATGGAGTGCACGAGGCGAATGAACTTTTGTGGCGCTTCGTTCATGCTGGCTGCGCGATGGCATGAAAGTTATGCAACTCCACACACACACACACACACAGACACACACATACACTTTGGCAGACACACAGACAGCGCGAGCTTGCTTGAGCTGGGCTTTCGGCTATCCACACGAAGCTCCACGAGCGACGAAGTCAGTTAACTGTTTTTCAGCCACTTCGTGCTGTGATGTGGATAGAGGGGCAGCACCAAGAGGAAGAGAGTGCGACAGAGGAGAGAGAGAGAGAGAGAGAGGAAAGCAGGCGGCGACGAGTCGTTGACTTTGCATAAGTGTGCCAATTTATAAAACAGTTCAAGATTACCGTGGCCTTCAACAGCAGATGGAACACACGGCAATAACAGCAACAGCAACAGCAACAGCAGCAGCAGCAACAACAACACCAAAAGGTAATCACCTATAAAATGGGGCTAAAGAAATATTGTATGAAATGTAGGTGTAAAAGAAATACTTGTGTATAGCTAAATCGAAATATGGTATTTATTGTATTATTGTATTATATTTATATGAGAGTAAACTTAAGTTTAAGTTAGTGGAACGATGTTCACTCTTAGTAAAGAATTTATTCAATTTAATTTGTTCTTCTAAAGTTTATTTCCCATCAACATATGTACATATCATCTATAAGAACATCTGAACAAATGGAACTTCTATGTGGAAATTTCCACTAAACTGAAAAATATGCAAATCATTTGATTATCATATAATTTTACAAGATATTTTGTTCCCTTCCAAGGAATTATTTAGTGGACCCTTAAGTTTATCTGCAACTAATTATATTAAATTCTCAACCTAAAAACCGAATAG